CTGTGAGTTCAAGGCTAGCCTGGTCTACAAGAGCTAGGTCCAGGACAGGCTCCAAAACTACAGAGAAACCCTGTCTTGGGGAGAAAGGAAGGGAGGGAGGGTGGGAGGGAGGGAGGGAGGTGAGTTCGATGGAAGGGAGGGAGGGAATAAAGAAACAAAGAAACAAAGAAACAAAGAAAGAAAAAGAAAAAAGAAAAGAAGAACCAAATTCCTGTCATGGTCATTTGCTGCTGTCCTTCTTGGGAAGCACAGCTGTTAGCCTGGGCTGTGGATCTGCAATCAGGACAAGGTAGACTGAAAAAGCCACACTCACAGCGCAGCAGCCTTCTCACCTAAATGAGAGCAACCGTGGCCTCACAGAAAGTGCTACCTAGGACAACATCCTAGAAGGACCCCAACAATTCCAAAAGCAGACCAAAGAACACAGCTAATATGCTTCTCCCTCTGCCTACAGGGACCGACCTCACCAGCATGCAACTCGTCATGAGGCAGTTCAGCAAGAAATGATTACCCCTGCCTGCCCAAATACAGCTGGGAAAAAAAAAGGATTAGATACTTTTAAGAAATTCCAAGAAGATACAAGCTACCTTTGAAACTATTCAAAGTAATACCTCTAATTATAACCAAAACAAGTGGGCGGTCAGAGCCACCTGAGTCTCATCAAAAGAATGTGCTCCATCCAGCCAACGCCCCTAAGCCTTCCAACCACCTCGGAAAAGCCACCTCTCACAACCTGCCTGAAAACAGACAGCATGTGGAGCAGAATGTATGACTGGTACATCAGTACCATTAGTTTAGAAAATATTACACAGCCCCATTAGTATAGAAAAGTTACGCTAAAGAAACTGCTCCCTCAAGTCAACCTGTGTGCTTCCTCTTGATAGGTTACAAGTCTACATATCAGGGCAAAGCCTGGAAGCATGAACTAAAGGCAACAGCAGAGCCGCCTGCACACGGAACACCTGGCCCACATGAGTAAGGCTCTGGGATTTAGTCTCATTACTTAGGAGGTGGGGTGAGTGAAAGAAAAACTACTTGTTCCTGGAGCCAGCAGCGTTCTCCAACCGCAAAATAAAGCTTCAACCCTACACGTGTGCTGTGACAGTCACAGGACCAAAATAGCCCACAGTACATAAACAATTTGTGGAAAACTGTGAAGCTTTTATAACATTTCTTGATTTATGTGTTGGGCATGTGTGTGAAGATCAAAGGCCAACTTGTGGGAGTTGGTTCTCGTCTTCCACCATGAACTCAGGTTGGCAGGCTTAGCAGCAACCGCTTTTACCTGATGAGCCATCTTGCTGGCCCATAAACAAATTTTTCAAGTCAAAATATTAAATACAAGTGTAAAGCTTTTGTTATAATGTCATTTAGGCCAAATTCTATTCTGTAGAGGAGTGGTTCTCAACCTTCCCAATGCTGCGATCCTCTGATACCATTCCTCACACCATGGTAACACCGCAACCATAAAATTATTTTTCTTGCTACTTCATAACTAATTTTGCTACTGTCAAGAACAGTAGGGTAAATATATGACACCCAGCCATCTGCTATGCAATCCCCAAATGGGTCATAACCCACAGTTGAGAATCATGCTCTAGAAGATCACAACTTCCATTAAATCTGAAGTAAGATATTGCTAATGAATATTTTCATGAAAAATCATGTTACCCAAGGGAACGATAACAAAAATAAAATTAAAATGCCTGGCTCTTTAGTCCCAGAACTCTTCTAAACTCCATGTGTAGGTGACACAAAGCCGCTCGGAGGCTGAGGGTCAAGTCTTGCTCTGTAGTACCAAGCCACTTCTCATCTCACCTTACGGGTCTATTTTCCCACCTACTACATCACAGCAATCATCACTGTGATATATGAAAGGGGCTAGAGGGAGCGTTGTTGCCTACCACACATCTAGATACAGCCCTCAGCATCACCTAACAACAGGAAACACACACACACACATATTCCATCATTGACGCGGCAGGAGATTTGCCTCGGAGGTTAACAGCACTTGCTACTTGCTGCTCTGCTAGGACAAGTTTGAGCACCAGCACCCACCTGGGCAGTTTACAACCGCCAAAAGTCTCCTCTGGCCTCCTAAAACACCCACCCACACACAGACACCCATACACATAAGTAAAAAACAAGAACAAAAAACAAAATCTGAAACTATAAATGCACTCAGCATCTTTTTTTTTTACTGTTTTTTTTTTTTTTTCTTTTTCGAGATAGGGTTTCTCTATAGCTTTGGAGCCTGTCCTGGAACTAGCTCTTGTAGACCAGGCTGGCCTTGAACTCAAAGAGATCCACCTGCCTCTGCCTCCGGAGTGCTGGGATTAAAGGCGTGCGCCACCACCTCCAGGCCTGCACTCAGGAAGCAAGTCAGTGTGTCCCATATCTATGCTCAGAGCACTCAGGCAGAGGAACAGGATTGCAGGGAGTTCAAGGCCAACCTAAAGTATACAGTAAAATCCTATTTAAAGGTGGGAGAGAGTGTCTCTACACAAATACTCAGGCAGAAAATATACCTTTGAAGGCAGGTTCAGTGGCCCACATTTGTGATCCCAGAACTTGAAACAAGGACAGAAGGACAACTCACAAACCTGAGGCCAGGCGAGCCCCAAAGAGACTGCCAAGACTGCCACAGATGGCAAAGGCTGCCTCAAAACACCAATGCCATAGACATGCATACATACATATGTATACCTATGTTCAAGTTCATTACATCATTATATTGTTTTTTTGAAATATTACGTTGCCTAGACAGGTCATGAACTTGCCATCCTCCTGCCTCAGCCTGGTAAATGACTGTGATTACAACCCCGTAACATGTGACCCAATAGTATAACACTGTAAAAAATTATGGACATTTAAAGTATTTCTATTAGGAAACAGTAGTCATTTTAAAAATCAGAATAATAGATGATGTAGCTACTCAAGTCCATAAAAGACCCCCTGAGCAGTGACTTTACAAAAGAAACAGTGGGAAAAAAATGACATATTGAAATTTGCAGACAAATGAGTGGATCTAGAAAACATCATACTGAGTGAGGTAACCCAGACCCAGAAAGACAAATATCATATGTACTCACTCACAAGGGGCTTTTAGACATAAAGCAAAGTAAAAACAGCCTACAAATCACAATCCCAGAGAACCAAGACAACAAAGAAGACCCTAAGAGAGACAAACACAGGAAGTAGAAAAAGACAAGATCCCCTGAGTAAATTGGGAGCCTGGGGACCATAAGAGAGGACAGAAAGGGAGTGGGGAGGAAGGAAGGGGAGCAGAGAAAAATATATAGCTCAATAAAAACAATTTTTTAAAAAGGTGATTTATTGAACAGCCAATTAAAAGCATATGGTAAGAAACAAGTAGTGTGTATATATTACATATGTAAGAAATATGTATGCAAATGTATGTATCTGAACTATATGTATATTTCTCCTATTAAAAAAACAGCAAACTTCATGGCAACAAATCTAGCTCCAAGAATAACTCACAAAATAAATGAAAGTGGGTTTTTTTGGGGGGGGTTGTTTTTTTTTTCTAGACAGAATTTCCCTGTTATAGCCATGGCTGTCCTAGAAATAATTCTGTAGACTAGGCTGGCCTCAAACTCACAGAAATGCCTCCAGAGGATTAGGATAAAAGGTATGTGCCACCACAACCTGGCTTAACTTAAAATTTTAATGACTTTTTTTACATGTATTAATAATTATTTTATGCATGCATGTCTGTGCACCACATACATGCCTGGTGCTCTCAGAGTTCCAGACAGTTGTGAGCTTCCACGTGGATGCTGGGAATTGAATCCAGGACCTCTGGAAGAGCAGCCAGTTCTCTTAACCACTGAGTCATTTCTCCAGCCCCTCAAAGTTTTATTTTAATTCAGCTCATACAAAATTCAAAGGAGGATACTAAAGGTAAAAACTGTCTTCTAGTTCTCTTACCATCAGGCAATCAGATTTCTACTTTCTGAGGTATTTTTATTCATTTTTTAAATTGTTTTGAGACATCATCTCTCTATGCAGCCATGGCTAGCCTTAACCCGGAGATCCTCCTGCCTTTATCTGTGATTAAAGGCACAGACCACTATGCTGGGCTCTTTGTTCACTTGTATTTACTATTTTTATTTGTGTATATATATAGGCAAGACTGCACGTGTGCTAGCCTGTGCATGTGACATCAAGTAACTGTCAAAAGGGGACAATTTGCAAGAATTAGTTCTCAGCTTCTATTGGGACTGAAGTGGAGTGGGGGCTCTGAACTCAAGTTGTGAGGCTTAGCAACAAACAGCTATTGAGCCATCTTGTTGGTTCATGTCAATGTTTTAACACACACACAACTGATATATTATGCTGTAGAATAATCCATCTGCACACTGTAAATTACGCTGACTGGTTTAATAAAGAAGTTGACTGGCCAAGAGCTGGACAGGATAAGGTTAGGTAGGGAAACCAGACTAAGGACACTGGAAAGAAAATGGGCAGAGTCTGAAGAATCTCGAGAGACACGGGGGAAGCAAGATGAATGTGCGGTGTTAAAAGAAGGTACAGCAACATAGCAGAGGGTAGATAAGAAGTATGGGTTAACTTAAAATGTAAGAGTGAACTAGTAACAAGCCTGAGCTATCGGCTGAGCACTTGTAACTAATGGTAAGTCTCCATCTCGGTTGTTCAGAAACTAGCAGGCAAGAAAGAAAAGTCCACCTACAATACTGTTAACATTTTCTAATTACAAATCTTTTCCAAGTCTCAGTTTATTCTTCTGTAAATTAGAAAACACAGAAACACCCCCCATTTAATATAGTATTACCCTAAATAAAACTGACACCTTGCATAAACCATGAGTCCCACAACTGCTCAACTCACTCGTCCTTTAGCGGACCTGCTTGCTATTTGCCTCTCATTCCCACTGGCTCTCCACAAGGCGTTAGTAATGTATAAACACAACTGCATAGCTTATGCTGAGCAGCAAGGAATGCCTTGTGCATACTCACAGGGATGCCCCAGACTTGCATGCCGTCACTGTAGCCGATCATAACCAGCAGAGGGGGCTCATTTCCAGTGCTATGCAGTTCATGAAATTCTAAATTCCGTGATGTATCTGTATTAGAATTAACAAAAAAGCAAATAAAAAGCATGAACCAAGAAAACTACTCATTTACCCCATCAATGCAAAGATTCAGTTACAACAATAAAGGCAGGGATCTGGAAGGAAGGCTAAGTTCCAGAGTTCGGAAGAGCACCCACATCAGGTGGCTGACAAGCATCTGGAATTCCACCTCCAGAGTGTCCAAGACCTCTGAAATGAGGGCATTTGCACTTAGCTATACACAGACATATACACAAAATTAATAAAAACAAATCTTTTTTTATTAAAAAGAAAAAGGTCAGAGGCCCACACAGTATCTCTGGCCAGTAACCCCAGCAGGTAGGAGGCTGAAGCAGGAAAGATCACCAAAGCCAACAATAACTTCTAAGTAACTGTAACACAGTAACTTCTAAGCCAATCTAGCTACACAGTGACACCTTATTTCAAAGAAATAAAAGGTTTGTTTTTTCTGTTATACTGGCGATTGAACCCTCACACATGCTCTGTAAGTGTGTTAATGCTGAGCTATATCCCCAGCCTGCTTTTCCTTTGTGGGTGTGAGAAAGGCAAGGTCTAAATTGCCCAGGCTAGCTTTGGGGGTGGGCATAGATTGATTCATAGTAACATTTGTAAACAGCCAAAAGATGGAAACAATACAAATGTTCACCAACTGGACAATAGCCCTATTATGGTACAAAGAGGATGAAATATCATCAGCAAGGAAGAATGAATTACTACAGACTGCAGCGTGCAGAGGACTCTGACATTAAAAAATACTATATGTGGAATGTACTGAACTCTGAGGAGCTGGGGATACGGGGTAGTTAGCTAAGTGACAGACTGGGCCTTATGCCCAGGGGTTCAATCCCCAGGACCAGGAAAACGTCCTTGTGCATTGTGGTTGGGAACCTGGAATAGTACAAGCTCTCTACATAGCAAAGACTTAGGTCCTCAGAAAACTAGACTAGGATACCATACGGGACCCAGCTATTTCCCTTCTGAGTATAGGTCAGAAAGAACAGAAGCAGAGTCTTGAGACAGACACCAAGGGTGACAGTGATGGTTGTTCACAGAATTTGGGCTGTATGGGACCTTGAGGGACAGGCCTATACTACCACCTTCTCAGGAAGCTGAGGAAGGATGACTGTCACAAGATAAGCCAGCCAGGACTACAGTGTAAATTCAGGGTCAAAGGGCAATTTAGTAATTAAAAAGTCAGTCCAGGGCTAAGGATGTAGCTCGGTGGGCAAAATACTCGGCTGGCATACAAGAGGCCTAACGCTCAATCCACAGCGCCCCAGAAAGTTGCCATGGTGACAGAAGAATCAAAAGTTCAAGGTCATCTTCTAATTTAAGGCTAGCATGGGCCACACCTGCCTCAAAAACAAGCACTTATCCAGTCGGAACACACATTTAATTCCAGCACTACAGAGGCACAATAAAGAGACTCTGTGTTTTACTCGCCAGCGTGGTCTACATACTGAGTTCCAGGCCATAAGAAAAGTCCAGTACTTGTGAAGTTCAGGCGTGAGGTTCAGGAATTCAAGGTCACCCTGAACTACCCGAGATCCTGTCACTAAATAACTGACTAATAACAAATAAATAAATAACTGAAAAGAGAGCCGAGAGTATAGTCCAGTGTCGTGCACTACACAGCATAAATACTGCTCTCGGTATAATGCCCAACATTAAAGAAAATGGTATTACTCATGTAACTAAGGTTGCTGAGGAATTGGGAAAAGAGAATGGTTTGTTTGAGAGTTCAAGGTTATCCTGAGCAACCCTGGCTTAAAATAAAATAAAATAAATGGGTGGTGGCATACACACAGTGAGATACTAGTCAGCCTTAGAAAGAAAAAAATTCTGACACGTTCCAACACAGATGAATTCTGAATAAGAACCCATTTCTGTAAGGTGTCTGTATCAGGCAGAGCCATAAAGAAAGTAAAGGGGCTGGATCGATGGCTCCGGGTTTAATAGTACTGGCTACTCTTCCAGGGAAGGGTGATTTTATTCCCAGCATCCACTGGTGGCTGACAAGACCTGTCACTTTGCTCCCAGGGAATCGGACTCCCTCTCCTAGCTCCCAAGCTGCATAGACACACATGTAGGCAAAACATGCAGACACACAAAAATAAATCACTTTTTAGTAAAAAGAAGTTTGATGGTGTAGTGCACACATTTAATCCCAGAACTCAGGAGGTAGAGAAAAGAGGGGCTCTGAGTTCGAGATCAGCCTGGTCTACAGAGCGAGTTCCAAGACAGTCAGGACTACACAGAGAAACTTTGTCTCAACAGAAGATAGGATAGATGGTGGTTAGAAGGACTGGGAATGAAGACATGGACAACTTTTAACGAATCTAGTTTATTTTCCAATATGAAAATGCTATATAGATCGATAATCAAAGATCATAATGGTTACACACTGTAGAGGGTTTAGTTTCTGGACAGGTACCCCAGTCTCACCTCCAACTCAGAATCCTCCTGTCTCAGCCTCATAGGCACTGGGATTATCAGCATGCACTACCATTCCCAGCTAAAAATGAAATTATTTTTCAAAACTGAAAAGTTAGTAGAAGCAAAATGGCCTGAGTGAACTTTCTAAAATCAGGTCAACTCCAAAAAAGCACTTAATACACACTTAATACACACGCCCCAGAAGTTAGTCATACCGTTCAGATCTGCGTTCTCGAATCTGACCCAGACGATTTTCTCCTTTTCTTCTGTCAGGGGGGTCCCGCTGTAAGCCTGCACAGCAAACACAGTGTTCTCACTAAGACGCTGTAGGGTTCCAATGCCACACAAGTTCAAAGCAACAGGGGATTCTAACCATTCCACCCCTCCAACTTCTCCGGCCTCAATAAAGCAACCAGTACATTTTGGAATGTCATTACTCCCAAAGAATGTTTGTCAGGGACTCTGATAGTATCAGTCAAAGATGAGGTTTTAACTCATCACAGAATTGCAGAAACCTAAATACAGTGATCATAATAAACCCTCCATCAACCATCTTCACACCTCAATAAAGGTTACAGAAGAACAAAACTCCAGGGTTATCTGGCTTACAGACACAAAGTATCAGTTAATGCTTGCAAGCCTGCAACAATCAAAAAGATACACACGCACGGCTAAAAACCATTGGTAGTGCCCATCAAACAGGTCAGCTCTCCATGTAAAACACCTCTTCATTTAAAATTTTCAAGAGGGCGGGAGACGAAGCGCTTGTCTAGCAAGCAGGAAGCCCTGGGCTTGATTCCCAGTGCTGCATAAACCAAGGGTTTGGAGTTAGATTCAGAAGATCTTCAAGGTCATTCAGGCTGCATAGGAACTTGGTCTCTCACACACAATTGGTAAGATCATAAAGTGTGGTCCAAGTCACTAAATCCAAAGCTAAAACTGAGGCTGAGAAGGAAGGAGGCTTGGGGCCAGGAGTGCAATGCCAACCCAGGCAACTAGAAAGTCAGCCTAAAATATTGGAGGTGGGGAATGGCTAGGTATGGGACTTGGTAGAACACTTGCCAGAGAACAAGACCCTAGGTTCAATCCCCAGTATAAGAAAAAAAGTTTTGTGTGCGTGTATGTGTGTGTGTTCATGTGAGTAGACATTTGTAGAGGAAACCTTGGTCTTGGTTTTTTTTTTTTAATGGTTTTCTTGCCTTTTTTTTTTTTTTGAGACAGTCTCTCATTAACATGGAGCTCACCAATTAGGAAAGGCTGGGCCAGCAAACCCTTGGATCCTCAGGTCTCCACTTTCCCAGTGCTGGAATTATAAGTGCCTACCTGTCTATCATGTGTCTGGGGGTCAAACCCAGGTTCTCATGCTTACACGAGAAGCACTTTAACCAAATGAGCCATTTCCCCAGGACTTGGTTTTTAATTTTAAGATAATATATATTGCTTTATACACCCCTAACTTCAAATGGTGAGTTTAATTAGATTTGGAGGCGAGAGCTCCCTATATAGCCCAGGCTGGTTCAAACTTGAGACCCTCCTGCCTCAGTTTCCCAATGATGGGATTCTGGCACAAGCTACCCAGCTACGGTTATCCACTTAACACATCAGGGAAGAGGAAATTTCAATTGAGCAACTGCCCCATTAGATTGCCCTGTGAGCATGTCTGTGAAGCATTTTCTTGATTGCTAATTGACGTAAGAGGGTACGGCCTACTGTGAGCAGGTGGCCTTGCACTATATAAGAAAGGTAGTTGAATGTAGGCCTGGAAACAACCCAGTAAGCAGCCTTCCTCCACGGCTCCTGCTTCTGTTTCTGCCTCCAGTTTCCTGCCTTGGCTTCCCTCAGTGAAAGACTTCAAGCAGTAAGTTAAGTAAACCCTTTCCTCCGCAAGGTGCTTTTTCTTTTTCTTTTTTTTTATTTTTTTGAGAAAAGGTTTCCCTGTGTAACCCTGGCTATCCTGTCACTCACTCTGTAGACCAGGCTGGCCTCGAACTCACAGAGATCGCCCTGCCTCTGCCTCCTAAGTTCCGGTATCAAAGGTGTGTGCCACCAAAGCCCAGCTCCCAAGTTGCTTTTGGTCAGTGTTGTTCCACAGCTAAAGAAAAACTATGACACCAGCTTTCACCTACAGGGAGGGGTCTAGCTCAGAGGAGAACGGGCACTGTGTGCAAGGCCCAGATTAACCCTTAGCACCAAAACATTAAAACAACCTAGAGCTAAGGATTTCTCCAGAGGTAGAGAAAGGAGAACTGAGAGTTCAGGACCACTCTAGGACACAGGGAAAGCCGGGTCTGGTGGTGTAGGCCTGTAAACTCAGCTCTTACAAGGCTGAAGCAAACAGATCCCAAGTTAAAGGTCTCCCTGGGCTACAGAGTGAATTCACTTTCAACATGGACAACTATCTCCAAAAAAAAGTAAAACAGAGGGTCAGGGACATGGATCAGCAGATAAGGAAGCCTGCAGCAAAATCTTGACAGCCTAAACTTAATGCCAAGAACCCATGTACAACCACTGTTAACTGCCCGACATTTTCCTGGTTACAATTTTTACACTGAAAATCTGAACATCTTTATACACACAGCAATAGAGTTAGTGCTTCTCTGTACTACATTTAAAATAAGTTTTCCTAACTGAAATTAGCAGATCAAAGGGCACATCTGCGGGTTCCTAGTGAGCAGTGGTATCAGCCAGCACAGCTCTGAGCCACTATCGAGGGCAGCAACACTCTCCCTCTGTGCAGGACCATTTATCTGCAGACCACAGAAAACTTTATAGACTCTGTGAATTTGATTCCCAGAACAGGAGAGAAATATAAAACATACAACTTTCAGGGCTGGAGAGATGGCTCCGTGGTTAAGAGTGCTGGTTGCTCTTCCAGAGAAGCAGGGTTCAATATCCAGCACCCACAAAATGGCTCACAAAGACAACTCCAGTCCCAGGAAATCCCTCTGAGGACCTGGCTGGCACACATACTGAAAAACTCATACACATAAAATAAATAACTTTTTCAAGACAGACAAGGTCTCTCTACTTAGTCCTGGCTGTCCTGAAACTCACTTTGTAGACCAAGCTAGCCTCAAACTCACACAGGTCTGCCTGCCTCTGCCTCCCAGGTGCTGGGATTAAAGGCATGCACCGCCAGCACTGACGAAAATGTCCTTTTTAATTATTTCTGTCACTGAAGACATGGCTTATCAGTTAAGAACACTTCCAGAGGACCCAAGTTTGGATCCCAGCATCCACTCAGGTCAGCTCACGATTTCCAGTAATGCCAAAACTAGGGGATCGTAAGGTCTCTGTAGGGACCTATATCACCCCACACATACACATAAACAAATAATAAATCTTAAAAGATCAATGTCAGCTCATGTCTTTAATCCCAACATTCAGGAGGCAAAGACAGGTGAATCTCTGTCAATTTAAGGCCAACCTAGTTTACATAATGAGACCCTGTCTCAAAAAAAAAAGTAAGTTTTACTCTTAAAAAAGAAAAAGGAGCCGGGTAACGGCAACACAGCACTGCATGCACTTTGGAGGCAGAGGCAGGTGGATCTCTGTGAGTTCGAGGACAGCCTGGTCTACAGAGCGAGCTCCAAGACAGGTTCCACAACTACAAAGAAACCCCATCTTGAAACCCACCCACCCTTTCCCCCCCCCCAAAAAAGAAAAGGAATTAAATATTCAAAGGACAGTAAGATTGTTCACCAGGATCCTTGGACACCATGGTGGAAGGAAAAAAGCACCTCCCAAAAGTTGCCCTCTGTCCTCCCTGCATACCCAAACATATACATGCAATGAATAAATGTTAAAAACATGTGATGTTCGGTGCTCAGATCCTGTAATCAAGCCTTTGGGAGTCTTGCAGGGGGTTTGGGGAGATGCTAAAAGTCTGCAGCCATCCTGGAATACAAACACTATGTCAGAAAGGGGGAGGGGAAATGAAGCAGAAAGGGAGAGGGAGGAGAAAAAGAGCTGGGAGAGACAGGAGAGGGAAGAGAAACTATAATCGGCTCATTCAGTTGCTGCCGCTTAGAAAGCCGTAAGTCTATCTCGGCCTTTGGATCTTTGGTCTCCTGAGAAGCGACTTAGTATTTGTTTTATTTTATGCTCTATGTACATAGCTTCCTTTAAACCTTGACACAAAACCCACAGTGAGAACAATGAGCTGTTACAAATAAGGACACTGATGTGCAGGGTCATGCAGGGACTTGCCACAGCTAGTGACATGTCCAGCTGAAGTGTAAAATCAAGTCCGTTTGTTTTTTTCACTGGTTTTTCGAGGCAGGATTTCTCTGTTTAACAGCTCTGGTTTTCCTGGAACTCACTTTGTAGATCAGGCTGTCCCCGAACTCACAGAGCACCTCCTGTCTCATCCTACCAAGGGCTGGGATTAAAGGCATGTGCTACTATCGCTGCTTGAGGGCTGTACTCTTAAACCACTAAGACACTCTCAGCCTGATACAACCCCACTATCCCTGTTTCCTAAGGCTGCATTACATTCTCTTTTATTCCTCAGTTCAAATGGCATCTGACTCATTAGATCTCCATCCATTTGTTAGTTGTTTCTCTCCCTATGCAGTCCAGGCTAGTCTGAAACCTGCAAGCATCAAGCCTCAGCCTCCCCAAGGACAAGACTAAAGGCAGGTGATAGATCACACCCAGCTCCAGTCTCGGGTAAACTGAGTCTCTTCCTCCTATGCCAATGGTACAGCAAGGTACTTTATACTTTTACTATGATGTTTATATTTGGCCATGTATTTTATTTAGCTGGGTTTTAATTATACGGAGACCTGTGTTGATGAATCAAGTTTTACTGAAGCAACAACCATGACCATTCCTTTATATAGAGTGCTGAGTAGCTGGAAAGAAAACCAGGGCTCTACAGAAGAGGTCTGCCAAGCAGCACAGCAGACCAGAGGCCTGAGGCACAGACTGAGAGTTCCTTCAGCCCAGCTCAGGGCCTGGCACCTGCAGGGACCCCAGGTAAATGCTATTTATTCAAGTTTCACCTTCAATTTGGGCAGAGAACAAACAACACAGGAATTTCTGGCTGGGTATTCTAACTCTTAGATCAGTGCCTCCAAGTTTACTTCCATGTCCTTGTTCTGTGCCATCGTCACAGCTGGTTTCGTGGGTCAGGACCTGCTACCCCTCCCTGAAACACATGTTCAGAAAAACTAGAACTTCTGGCATTTCCCCGCTATGTTCAGTTTTAGTTCGCTATTTTCCCTGTTCCTGTCTCACGCCAACACCTCACATGAGAGAAGAGTCCTCAAAGTTTCTGACCACAGCCTTTTCCATCCAAAATAATAATGATGATGATGATGATGATGATGATGATGATAATCCTACCACATTGCTACACAGGGTTCCTAGCTACACAAGAGATGCCTATATAACATTTGATAAAGATGCCCTGTAAGCAGCAAACAAAATACTAAAGTAAAATCTTTTAAAATCACTTTTCCATGGAATTGCAGCTTCATGCCAAGGTTCGGGGCTTACAGGAAAAACAAGTTGGCTTTCAGGTGCCCACTGCTCCCTCCGCCTGGTCAACATAGACATCAAATCCTCCACTACCAACAGAGTCTTGTTGCCAGCCGCCCTGTTCCCTCCATTTCAACTAGCAATGCTTCCAAAGTCTCTCCCTCCTCTCTGCATCCCCTCACAGATCAATTATTCAGTGTGCTACATGGCAACAGTGCTGATTTGTTGCTATTAATAATCTTTGCTTGTTTCAACCAATTTGACTTATTAAGCAAATGCCTCAGGAAAGGGAAGCATTTTTCCTCATGTGTACCACAGACTTCAATGCTGTGGTCTGTTTTCATTCACACTGACTAAATATAATAAAGCAGTATCACCATTCCTTACTTGAATACATTTTGCTAAACACAACTAAAAATCTAGACCTTGGACCTTTCTGGGATATGCTTGTAAAACTGGCATATGGATCCATGAGCAGTCCTCTCCAAGCTGCTCAGGTGAAGGACCACGGCAGTCAGGGATGACTGGCATCCACATGAGAAAATAAGTAAGCCTGCCTTCAGTGCGTCCACCAGAACAGCACTATCCCATCCATGCCCACAGCAAACACCAGACATGGGTGCAGGACTCTTAACATGAGAGCCTTGCTACAGGTACGGGTGCAGGACTCTTAACAGATCTACTCTCTGAGAGACAGGCCTGGAAATTACTATCATGTTTAACAAGAAGCCAAATAATATTGAACTAAAATAATGCGAGCAGTAATATACTATCTAATTCTTGCAAAGCTGCTTGCTCTCAAAAAAAATTATCACATTTAAAGAAGCAATAAGGGCTTTCATCTCTGACAAAACAGGGCAAAAGGGCGTACCCACATTGCAAAAAATAAAACATTTTTCAAATGGAAAGAAATGACAATGTGTACTAAACATATACATAAACATATAAATAAAATTACCATCTAGTTAATACATAATTTATAGTGCCCTTCCCACTTCACTCAGGCACCTCTGCAGGAACAGTATATGGGTATTTAAGTATGTGGGGTTGGGCAATCAAACTCTGGGCCTCATACATGCTTGGAAAATAGTCTATTGGGGCTGGAGAGATGGTTCAGCAGTTAAGAACACTGACTGCTCTTCCAGAGGTCCTGAGTTCAATTTCCAGCAACTCACAACCAAATGAAATGAGATCTGGTGCCCTCTTCTGGCCTGCAGGCATACAGACAGAACACTGTATACATAATAAATAAATAAAACTTTAAAAAAAGAAAGAAAGAAAAAGAAAACAGTCTATGGCTGAGCAACATCCCAAGCCCAAGCCCAGACCTCTTACCTTAGACAAGAAAAGTAGTTAGGAATTGAAGCCCTCAGGAAAGGGTTAGGGAGGGAACCCACTGGTAACGCATTGGACCAGGCCTGGGTTTGATGCCTACCACTGGGAAGACCCCAAAGAATCCTGACCCCTGTCCAAATCCCCCTGGATTCCATTCAGGAAAGGAAGTCCCAGGAATAACAGGTCCCTGCCATCACAAATGCGAGCCACATCTCACGACCACAAGCACAGCTCTTCCCTACTGACCCGCAGCACGCCAAAACAAGACTCTACGCTACTCATTTAGACAAGTTTAGGAACAAGACTCTGGAGCTTCCTGCCCAATGCAAAGTGACCGTTTCTGTACTCAACACGCACTCACCTGTGGCACAACATCCTGCAGAAAAGTCACGACGCTCTCCATGTAGGACTGCTCCCTGGGAAAGACAGAGGGATAAAACTGTCAGACAGCCACGGCAGAGGAAAACAGGAGGAAGAAAAGCAGGCTGGCTCTCATCCTCTAAGGATTCTTCTTCCCATACTCTCTGTTCATGAATCTGCATGCACCACTCTCTCTGGTGCAGTTTCTATCGCTGTGAAGCATCTCTCCCTAAAGTCTCCATCTCCTCACTAAATAAAGGGAACTCTAACTACTGACGGCAGCAGCAGGGTAGGATGGATGATAATGCTACAGAGAGGGAACTGTTGCTGGCGACTCAGAACTTCCTGACCATCTCTTTAAATAGGTTATGAACCTTGCCACTTACCTTTGTGGGCCAAAGTGAATGCATTTTCCCACAAAGGCAGGCATTAGAACAAGTGTTCAGTGCTGAGGAGATGGCTCAGTAGGTTGTGCTTGGGCCTCTTCAATCCCCAAAACACATATTTAAAGAAAAAAAAGGCAGGACAGGTGCATGTATATGATCCCAGACTAGGGAGGAAGACACAGAGGCTCCCTGGAGCTCACTTATCAGTCACCGTAGCCTACTTGGCGAGCTTCGGCAGAGTGCAACCCTGTCACAAAAAAAGGAGGACAGTATGAAAGGGTGAGTGTGATGACACACACTGGAGCCCTAGCACTTGGAAAAATGAAACAAGACGATCACAAGTTCCGAGTTAGCCTGGCCTATGTAACAGGACCTTGCATCAAAAAACTAAAACAAGCCAGCAGTGGTGGTGCACGCCTTTAATCCCAATTAAAGACAGAGGCAGGCGGATCTCTGTGAATTCGAGGACAGCCTTGTCTACAGAGTAAGTTCCAGAGCAGCCAGGACTACACAGAGAAAACCTGTCTCAAAAAACAAAAACAAAATCAATAACAACAGCAACAACAAAAGCAAGCATGAGATCTGTTATAAAAGTGAGGGAAGGGGTTAGGGAAAGAGCTCAACGGCGCAGCTCTTCCTTAGCATGTATGAAGTCTTAGGTTCAATTTCCAGCACCCCAAAAAAGAAAAATACTGTTAAAGACACTATCCAATGACATTTTGTTTTTGTTTTATCAGTTCTAGGGATGGAACCAAGGCATTACCCGGCTAGGAAAATGGCCTATCACTAAATGATAGCCCCAGGCCTGAAGATAGTTGAAATAGTTGTGATATGGATGTCAGTAAGTGGATAAAAACAATTTCTCCAAATACTAAAAATGTCTGAAAGATGTGAGCAATTGCCAGGGAAGAAAATGGGGCTACTGACTGCAGTGGCTCACACCTATAATCCCAGCACTAAAGAAGGAGCGATGTGAGTTTGAGACCAGTCTCAGCTACACAGTGAGATCAGGTTTCAAAGAACTAATCTGAAAAAACTAATGCTGGGCATGTAGCTTAGCTGGCAGAGTGCCTGGCTGGCATGTACCAGGTCCTAAGTTCCATCCCAACACTGCGCAAACTAGGCATGATGGTGCACACCGAGTGCATGTCAGAAGTTCTAGAAGGCTAGGAAGGGATATGATGGCACCTCAAAAGAAAAGAGTAAGAGTTTTCCTAACCCTTCAGAACCAAACGAAATACCTTAGAGACCCACAAAAGCAGGCCAAGAAAAAAGAAAAAACAATATCACTGAGCCAACTTTGCCAGACTCATTTTCATCACCGTCTTACTCTTCTTTGGCAGGTGGCTTCGATTCCTAGGACACAGCACACTGCCCGGACTCAGGATCTTACAAAGTCCTCTGGTCTGCTCTATTTCTTCCACTATCCCTGCCTTCCTACATTTTCAGTGTCAGTGTGGTCACCTTCCTCGGGTCATCTTTACACACAGACTCGCTTCTGTCCTCTGACCAGGCTTAGAGGGCATCCGTGTCTGTTTCCCCAATAGATTATAAGCGCCCTTAAAGGAAGAACCACAACTCTCATAGTCACCTTCTACATCCAGAGCCTGTTACCAGTACAAGGGCAAAGTTGGTACCCAAGCATTATCTGTCAAGATCATTTTCCCTAACTCTAAAATCATTACTGTGGTTTGAATACCACATGGTGGGGTAGCAGGAAATACTAAAGGAGAACACATAACCTAAAGACCCAGTAACTGGGCTCCAGCCAGCTCCCCACTAGGGCTATTCCCTATGACGAGCTTTGCCTCGGCTTTGTTTTCCTCACCTATAAAGGAAGATTAAAATAGCAACCTAACTCAGTGCTAATAACATGTTTAGCTTCATGGCACAGCAAATATCACAAATTCAGCTCTAGAGAAGACAGAGGGTGGAAAGGCAGTATTATGATATCACTGCATACACACACCTTTATTAGTCTAAGCAGACTGTCTTTTGTAATACACTAAACCACCCAAAGGAGACGATTACTGCCTCTAAGCATCTTCTTGGCCATCATCTTACTACATAGCCCAGACTGGTCTGGAACACTATATAGTCCAAGCTGCTCTCAAATTCACTATACTGCCTCAGCCTCGCAGGTCCTAGGATTGCAAGTCTGAGCCACTGTCCCAAGCTTGCTAAGAGAATTTTAAAACACATATAAGACATGGTCCGCATCTGCAGTCCCAGTACTAGGAATGCAGAGGAAAGGAGAGTACTGTGAGTCTGAACGGTGTGAACGACAGAGTGAAACACTTACAAAACAAAAGCCAGAGGAGCACAATGGCACATCCTCTTAGTTCCAGCATCTGGGAGGCAGAGGTCTGCAGACTGAGGCCCGGGACTGTCAGAAGGACATAGTGAGACCCGGTCTTGAAAAAACACAAAACAATATAAACAAAATTCAGGTGTCATCACACCTGCCTGTAATCCTAGCACGTGGACAACTCAGGATGGACTGCTACTAGTCCAAGGACAAGTAGCCTCAGAGTTAGTGCCGAGCCAGCCAGGACTACATAGAAGAACCCTTTCTTTTAAAAACTAAAACAAGGGCAGGATATGGTGGTGCACACCATTAACTCCAGCAATCCAGAGGGAGAAGTAGGTGGACCTCTGTGAGGCCAGCATGATTTACACAGCATGATCCAGGCCAGTCAGCGTTTCAGAGAAAGAAACAGTCAAAAAAACTGGGGAGTGACAGCACTGGCTGAGAGAACCAGGAGTTCAAAGACAGACGGCTCCACTATACAGCAAGGTGAGACAAGCGCGAGCCTGTCTCAGAAACCCAAAGAAAAAGTCGTTTTCCTAGTCCTTCTGTTTATTCTATTCTCTTTGCCAAAAAGGTACTCTTGAGTCTGAGTCCAAATTCTAGCCTTTAAAGATAAACTCTTCCAAAATGTTATCTTCTTCCAAAATTGTTTTAATTCTATTCTAATTCATATATGCACATGTATATATAGGTGCATACATATACGTATGCACATATATATATATATATATATATATATATATATGGGGGGGCATGTGCACATGGAAGTCAGAGAACAACTTAGAGGAGTTGGTTCTCTCCTTCTATCACATGGGTCACAGGGATCAAACTTGGATCCTCAGGATTGGTGGCAAGCCCTCTTACCCACTGAGCCACCCTGACAACCCCGAAAATGTTTCCTTCTCATGAACCCGTCACTATTAAAATATCCCCTCTAAATACTCGTATGATGTTTTGCTGGCATCTTTTCCTTTGTAGTAATTACAATAATTGCAACTATATATTTCTATGGGAGGGTTAAAGATAGGTTTTCTCTGTAGCTTTGGAGCTTGTCCTGGAACTCGCGCTGTAGACCAGGCTGGCCTCGAACTTACAGAGATCCACTTGCCACTGTCTCCCTAGTACTGGGATTAAAGCGGTGCACCACCACTGCCCGACTACATTATTTCTTTAAACCACATTGGTTCATAAACTCCCAGAAAGCATTGCTGCCCTATCAAAGAACAACTAAAATATAGAAATGCCCTCTGTAACATTTATACTGAGACCTACAAGAGATATATTTTATATCACAATTTAATGATCATATATAGAGGTATGAATGAAAATACCTCTGCAAATAACAAAAAACAACTTTCTTTTGTTTCATATGTATATATTAACATTTGCATGTGTTTGTGTATGTCTGTGGTGCTGAAGATGGAGCCCAGAATTTAAGAATGCTGGAACACTTAACTGTGTCTTACATCCCCAATTCCTATTTTTCTCTTTTTCAAATACTGATCATGACCCTCGAACTAATCTAATAATGCACTAACTTGTGGAACCTGGAGTTTAAGAACATTGATTTTTTTTTTTTTGATTTTACCTTTTTGGTGACACTGGGAATCACATTCGGTACCTCCCACAAGCCAGGCAAGGGCTCTGGCCCTAAGGTCATGCCAAGCACTCCCACTGCTCCTCAGGGTTAGCACGGTCACTGGTATGTACTATACTATACAAATGTGTTGAATGTGTCAAGTCAGCTACACCCTCCAACCGTTCTTTTAATTGGCCTTGAAAATGACATTCACTTCACCTGCACAACCAAAAAGTAAAAACTGTCTGTAAAAGCAAGCACTACCCAAACAGATATTCTGAGTGGAAGCTGTTTTTTAGAATGCCCTCTGGAAGGCAAACCTCTGTGAGTTCAAGGCCATCCATGACAGCCAGAACTACACAGAGAAACCCTGTCTTAAAAATCCAAATATAATAATGTTTCCTTTAGGTCCAGGGCGTTCTTTTCTGAGAGGTGCTTACGTGACAGCCTGAGGGCGAACCACGACTCCAGCGGTACAGCGGCTGGGCCTTCGAGGGGAGTCCGTAGCCATCGCGTCGCTCACAGGACCTGTTTCCAGAAGAAAAGAGAAGACATATCCTCAGTATTGGGAGGGGGAGTTGTATGATTATTCACTATGATTATTCACCAAAGATCCCTTTTCCAAACTGTGACAAACTATGAATTCTCCCAGGAACTCACTATTTAACTCTAGCTGGCGGAGAAGAGAACTCCCAGAAACCTGCGCGCCAGAGCACTGGGATTAAAGGTGTGCCACCACACCCAAGAAGATTCTGTTCTTTTTCTAACCTAGGGTAAAGTCTGCAAAGGAAGTTGGCCTTGAACTGCCTGGAAGTCAAAACAGTTTACTCTTTTGCTGGAAATTTCTTCTACAAGCACAAAATTAGAAAGAGAATAAGAACTAAATGGGGCTGGGCAGTGTTGGTGCACACCTTTAGTCCCAGCACAAGGCCAGCCTGGTCTACAGAGCGAGTTCCAGGACAGGCTCCAAGCTACAAAGAAACCCTGTTCTCAAAAAAAAAAAAAAAAGGAAAATAAATAAATAAACAGGAATTCTAACACAGAATTACTTACAAAATCAAATACAGAATCTAGTGTGGCAGAACAAACCAATATGGCCAGCACCCAGGAAGCCCAAGCAAGGTAATGGCCATGAGTTTGCAGGCAACGCAAGCCCAAGGTACTTAAGAGTCTGCTTTAAAGAAAAAAAAACTGGCTGGGGGTGGTGATCCATGCCTATCATCCCAGAGGTGAAGGCAGGCAGGAAGATCAGAAATTCAAAGTCAGGTACACAGTACACAGCCAATGGCATGAAGGAGAGATGGCCCATTTGAGGCAAAGACCAAATGGAAGAGTGACGTGATATCACTCTGCCTTCAAATAAGTCTGTTGAGGACCAGTGTAAAGCTGTGTAGCCACATTTAAATAGGACTTTTCAACCTCCAACTGTTTTAACAGAATCACCAGCGTGTAAACAAACTCATAATATAGACCCATATGATGTAAGGAGCCCCTTGGCCTTTCCCACAGTCTAAGTAAGCCCTGGTCCTTGACTATCTAATGAGCTTCCCAATCACTGAGGTGGCTTTAAGAGCATAGAGTCTACCTGATTAAGGTTAAAAGGGGACTGACAACAGGTCTAATGGTCTCTTACAAGGTTCAAGGAAGCCCACAGCCTGGAGATAAGCTGGAAATACCTAAAAACATCACTTTGAAGTAGGCTGTACTCTACCACTTCCTATGAAAACTCACAAACTGCTGATCCCCATATTCCTATACAACCCAAACACCCTTGTCCCAACTAGTCCAGGTATCCCTTTCTCAGGCAGTACCCCTCACCAGATCCCCTCAGCACTCTGATTGCCATTCCACCCTTTTCCATCCAAACCAGTCTCCCCGTCCATGTCCTCTAAGGGCCTTGTCACCTGAGGACAGCTTCTTGCAAGCCCCTCAGGCTCCACTCTCCCGCAAAGCCAAGGGAACAGCACTCCCCACTTCACCTCCAGCCCAGCCACGACTGCCCCCGGCCGCCCTCTGGCCTCTTGCCCGGCTCTCCTCCAGTTTCAATATCTTTCCCCAACATCCCGTCAACTGGGGCTAGCCCAGGCCTGTCCCCTCATGCTGCCTGTCCCTTTTCCTCTCCAAGCCTCCCCCACACCAAAGACCAGCCAGCCTTCTCACCGGCCGCTCCGCCGGTAAACGCTGTTCTACAGCTCCAGGCTCACTGTTTGGAGTCTCCCTCGTGATTGACGGCTACCACTTCCTACCACGCCTCGACGGAACCACAGCTCCAGCCAATCCCAAGAGCAAACTGGCCTCGGCGCGGCACCGCCCTTGGAGGTCAGTCTCGCCAACCAGCAAGTAGGAAAGAGGCGGACCCGCCTCCGGAATCATCCAATCCGCTGGGGCTGGAGGGAAAACACAACAGTATGGAAGTTCGGGTGAAGCGGGCGGGTCAGGTTCGGTTGTGAATGCAGGCGGTAGGGGAGAAAAGGCAGGCGTGTCTGCGGGCCTGGAAAAGGTGCCTCGATGGCTTTTCTGTTTTAAGAAAACGCAACGTGCTGCAGATACCTGCCCACCTCAGCCAGGTGCCTCCGGCGCGAAGCCCGAGGCCAGGGACACTGGTGTGTTTACATGGAATTCTCGCGACAGCTGATTCGAAGCAAAAAGCACGTGGACGTGGCAGCTGCCAATCCCTTTCACCTGGCCACTCAGACTGCCCCAGCCCGCCCTCCGCCCCGCCTGCGAAAATGTGTTTACCTTCCGGGAGTCTAGGCTAGCGTGTCTCTGGTCAGCCACTGCCGAGAACGAGTCTGAATAAGGTTGGAATAAGGGGCCTGTAAGAAATTTTGTTGGGGTCTTTAACGGTAACTGTCATAGAAATAGATGTTAGTGAACACCTGGAAATGGAGATCTCCCCAGACTTTGGAGGGACCCTAGGCAATACAGGGGATCTATGGAGAGTCTAAGGAGGATGTCTGGGGCTTTGCAGGGTGGGCAATGGGAAGATCGTAAGGGTTCCTGGAGTCTCATCAAGTCATGGGCCGGAAACTCTTACTTGAGAAACCCCCCCAGTCACACTCATATCTTTCCCCTGACCACGTATTAACCCAGTGCTTAAACCATGCTTAAAGCCTCTTTTTAAGGGATTGGGGTAGTACATGCCTGTAATCCCAGTACTTGAGAAGCAAAGAACAACTTGGTCTACATAACAAGTTCCAAGCCAGTCCAGTGCCATCACCTGAGACCTCCTGTCAAATGACTTGTCATTCCCCCCAAATATGGGACTTCTTTCCTCAGTGGGCTCTTCATAACGTAGAAACAAAAAGAAGTGGGGAATGAACGAGAATAAATGAAAATGCTGCTTGTCTGCCTCCAACTTGCAGCTTTGACGTGAACCCAGAGGAAGCATACAGCCTTAGTTGACCACAGTGGTAGCAGGAAATGATTTTTTTTTTTCCTGTTGGGAATTCTCAGACTAAGCAAGTAGTCTCTGGATGGGACTCTAGGGTGTCCTGAGATAGGCAAGGAATAGGCAGTTGCTGTAGCCATGGGATGAACTGGTTCCGTTCATCTTACCCTTCATCGTCAAAGACCTCCTCTCAGGACCTGCAAGATGATTGGAAAGCTAAAGGCCCCTGCTGCCAAGCCTGACCCCCTGAATTCAATCCCCAGGACTCAACATGGAAGATGAGAACAAGCTGTCCTCTGACCCCCACACCCAAAAAACACAATAGTGATTTAAAATAAATTTTAAGGATCTCCTCTTTATCATACTTACAGGGAAAAGGTAAGGGAATCCGACAGCCATCCTTTGCTACTAGAAAATTCGAGGCAGCATATTCTACACAAGGCCTTAATATTAAGTACGTATACGTGTGTGTGTGTATATGAGATTTGTAAGCATGTGCTCCCAGCAGACATGAAGAAAGGACATAGATAAGCATGTGCTCCCAGCAGACATGAAGGGACATGAACCCAGATGGTGCCAAGGTCCCCGATGGCCACTTTGAAAAAAAATGTTTTCCAGATGAAGGCTCTATCACTTTTAGTTGTTCCCAGGTCTGCCCTGTAATTCTTAATGTGAGAATGTGTAGGTATGAACTGGCAGAGAAGAGTGGGTGCAAAGTTCTACAAGTGGAGGGTTGGGGGAGGGGAATAGCCAGAGCTGGGAGCAGAGTTACAGGGTAGACAGCTAGTGGTGTAGATGCTAGGGTTTGAACCCTGGGTGTTGGGGGAGGGGGATGAATAGCCAGAGCTGGGAGCAGAGTTACAGGGTAAGCGCTCCTGGTGGAGAGGCTAGGGGTTGAACCTTTGGTCGTGAGACTCAACCTCATTAAACATCATAGATTAGCCTTGATGGCTCACACCTGTAATGACTGTGCTCAGGAGGCGGAGGCCTGACTGGATCTGATGCCACATTAGGCTACATAATGAATTTACAGCCAGCTGTGCTATCTAGTGAGCCACTGCCTCAAAATACAAGCGGAAAAAAGAGAGGAAAAACCCACACTGGACACTCCCAACCCACTTTTGGTATTTGCTTTATCACCAGCTTGAGATAATGTCGATAAGCAGTATACTCTGATGTAGCACCTGACTTTGGTTAGTCCCAGTGGGAGTGACGACTTCACTAAATAGCTGAGGATGAACTTGAACTCCCAATCCTCTTTTCTCACGTCCAGATGCTAAGACAAGCATTACACTACATCCAGACATTATTTTTTAACCATTATTTTAAAATGACTATGAAGTTCATTTTCAGTGCACGAGAATTGCCTCTTTGTTCTGATTACTACCAAGTGTTACTTTAACAAATTACTGGCTGGGCATGAGTAAGATTAGACTATCTTTCAAATGACTACAGATAAAACCTAAAGGCCACACTGTGAGGGTGCCTGCCTATAATCCAGGATTCCAGAGGCTGAGACCAGTTGGAGGCAAGTTGGAGTCTGGCCTACATACCAAAACTGCCTCAAAGAACAAAATGAGCAAATGAATAAAAAAACAAAAGAAAATTTCAGAACTGAAAGACTATCGTGATATATCAAAGAAAACTAAGGTGAAATTAAAACAATGTGTTGCTAGAAAAAGTTGGTAATAGCTAAAAGATTCCTAAATTTGGTAAAGGATACCAATCTAGAGATCCAGCTTCAGACAACCAAAATAAATCACTCAGGGACTCTTCAAGAGTGGTTAGTGGCAGATAAGAGGACAGGTGAAAAGTAGACCTAAACAGTGCTGGGTCCATGAGTGAGTAGACATGTCAGTGAAGCCAGCTAATTTATACAACTAGTATAAATTACTAGTTTATAAATGTGTATAAATGACTATACAATCAGTCATCAGGAGAGTCCTACAACTCCATTTAGTAGCATTTCCAAAGACATCCCACTGGCCCCACCTCCTCAGCGTTTTCAGTATTTCAACAATGCCACCCCACGAGACAGTATCCTACCTCATGTAGTAAATAGCATAGCACAGCGAAGTCAATCTTCGTTTTGCTAGAGTTAGGTATCAAATGCAGGGCCCTGTGTCTGAAGAGATGGCTCAGCAGTTAAGAGTACTGGCTTTTCTTCCTGAGAACTTTGATTTGGTTCCCAGCACCCACTTGGTGGCTCACAACTTATCTGTAACTACAGTTCCAAGGGATCTGACACCCTTTTCTGGCCTCTATCTAAACATGCACATGGTATATATACTTACATGCAGGCAAAATAATCATATACATGTTTTTGAAACTACAAGGCAAACACTCAATTACACTAAACCCCTAATCCTTTTACCTTTCCTGGTCACAATGCCTGACCCACATTTCTCTCTCTGGTTTTGTTTTATCCATTATTGTTTTGAGACAGTCTCATATATCTCAGGTTGGCCTAAAACTTTGAAGCTGAGGATGACTTTGAATCCCTGATCCTCCTGCTTCTACCTCCTGAGTACAAGGATTACAGACCTATTCCAACATACCTGGTTTATGCATTGCTGGAGCAGACTTCATGTGTGAGGCAGGCACTCTATCAACTCAGCCACATCCCCAGCCCTCAATGAGGCTTCTTATTCCAGATTCAAAGTTGAAGAGTACAATTACACACACACACATTTGTATACTCTTGGTACTTCAGTATTTCCCTTTAGGTTTTATTGTATTACCAAAGAAAGGGCCAGAGTTTTACTGAACACTCACAAGCTATAACTGAATAGATAACTGTTAGATATTTAGTTTGTTCCTATGTGTTCTATATTAAAATAAGAACTCAGTGCAAAAAAATGAGTATTATATGTATTTTAAGTCAAGAAAGCACAGATATCTTACACAACTGATGTTAGTACCTACCATGAAGAGTCACCAACAAAACGCCAGCAACATAAAGACCAACAGTTCACTGATTTATTAGATGGACACACTCATAACCAATGAAAACTGTAGGATATAAAATAATTTAGGAAATGTTGGGAATTAGCAGCACCATCTGTTACTGAAATATAAAGAAAAAGTCACGTGTTTTAAGCAAACACTAGAAGAGGGTAACTATATGTCCTAATGCCACTGATCTGGGAAATGATGGTGTTTTAGGCACACACACCTCCTTCTATGCCAGAGATTTCAGTAAGCACATCAGATGTACTGTTCTAGAAAAATGTTACTGAAGTTAAGAGATACTGCATAGTATAAGTAGACAAGAAGACTAAAATCAGCTACATTGGCATGGCTCAATGCTTTTCCTATGAAATGTTTAGTTATGGATTATGAAATGAGAAATAATATTATTTTTAAAAGACACTAATGGTCCCTAGGAAACATTAAGTGGAGCACAGATCACTATGAAAATACATCACTTTTCCAGTTTGCTTACTAATTGTCTTTAAAAAGTCATGTGTTCTTCACAAATGGTGTATACAAGTATGTAATAAGCATTTTAAAAAGTTTAACCATGTTTAAATCTTAGAGATTCTTCTGATTTTTCTTCAACATTAGCCCTGTTGTCACATTTCTGTGTCAGAGTAAGAGACTGAACTTGTGTAAAGGATACAAATTTACACACATTTTACAGCAACTTATTCCCTACATCTACAAAATTCACATTTATAATACAGGCAAGTACAAGGCCAGGATAAAACTGTTAAATTCCAAAAAGTCAAACGGTATACTCTTTATTTTATCCCCTTAAAAAAAAGTTCAACTTCGGCACCAAGATTAAAAAGCCCTCACATCCTAGGTAGAAGTACCCACTTTCCAGGTCCATCTCAGCACACACACACAGTTTTCCGGTGCTGCTGGAGGAGAGGATTT